TCTTTTCAATTCTGCAGGCCTTTGCAAAGTTCACCAAATAGCGAAGTGCAAAAGTGGCAGTGACTGGCTCGTGGACTGTGAGTGATACCTTCTCCTCAGGCTTCTCTCCCTCACGAGGCTTCAACATCACGTTGCCACTGCCCAAATCACCCTGCACCATGAATTTCAATCCTTCTTTGCTGCCACTGATCTGAATGGTCTCACCAAACTCCTTCAAGTCACGGCAAACCTTCTGAAACTCAGAAGAAGGCAACTTTGCGACAACCTTGTAGTGCTGCTCCGGGATTTCCATATGTTCGCTCTCGATTTGCATGAGCTTCAAATCGAAGTCAGCAATGCGATCATCTGAGCCTTCACACTGGAAGTTGACTGTGTCGGCATCTGTCTGGTGTCGAATCTTCAACGAGTCATTGGCGCTTGTCATCTTCAGAATCTTGGTCAACGAGTCAATGTTCATACCAAGCGACACTGGACGGTCACACTTGAACCTTGAAACTGAGTTTGCCAAGAATCCAAAGTGGTGGATCCCGGCATGTTCAAAAAAATTCAATGAGCATATGAGTATATGTTTACTGCACCATATTCATATTTTTGAGGCAATTTTTCATTGACGTTGTGGTTTCAAACTGACAGGAATCCGACAATCCAGAAAAAAACAAATGAGAATCAATGTGCTCAAATGTGGCTCAAGAGCTCAGCGAAGGCAGACTCTCGCAGCAGCACGGAGACCAATGCTACATGTGAGCTGTCCATGCATTGCACCTCAATGCCCTTCTCGGAGCAGTCAAAGTTCACGTCCTTGCACCTTACTCCATCCAACCCTCCATGTTCGCAGCACGTGCACATGAAGCAACCTTCGTAAAAGAAGGGACCAACTGAATCAGTTTCCTCAACAGCATTCATTTAAAAGGATATGATATGTGCGATTGCTTGCAAGAAACAAGTCCTTCATAGATTCAGCGACCTTCTTCAAGAGAGACGCATGCTGCAAATGTGCCTCAAGGCCCATGGTGTCAAAGAAGAAGGAAATGATGGACGAGGTGTTGCGAAGGCGTTTGCACTGTCTGAGCCAAGAAACGCATGACAAACATGCAGAATCAATGGTCAGATCAAGTTTGTCCTTGCTGTTCAATTGCAAGTTGGATATTTTCCCGACTTTTGGAAAAAACTAGAAGCGAGCTAATCGTTGTTTGATTGATGAAAATGCCTAATGGCAATGGCTTGAAAACTACACCAAATGGACAAGAACGTCACGAACGTCCCATCACAAGCTCAGCATTTGGCAGTACATCATTGAAAGCCGTGAACAGAGCTGGAAGAAAACAAAAAACAACCCGACGAATCAAGGGAAAACCATTGGAACCCAATTGATGTTTCCTAAAATGTCCCTTTCGCCTATAATTGTTATTTTTCATCCAATGATGTTCAACGACGTGTTGTCTGCACACCGAGTACGTGGGCGGAATACTTTTGTGTCTTATCAGTCTCTTGTTCCCAGGCACAAGAAGGACTTGGTCCAAGGTATCTTAACCTTCAGCCAGGAAGGCGTCCAGTGTGAAGATATTGAAATTGGTAACACATGTTAACGACATCGGAAACAAATGTTCAAACCCGTTTGAGAATTTCTATATGTTATTCGTTTCGTTCCTTTTTTCGTGAAACTCCGGTTGTGGGCCATGGCGGATTCATCTGTGGATGTACGGTCAGCTAGGACGAGGAAATCCAGTTCTGTTCAATGCTGAGTGCAGAAGAAGCAGCAGCATCCACTTCAACTGCACCGAGTTCAATGTTCACGATGTCACCGAAAAGACAGTCACCCGAAGTACGGTGGAAGTGAATAACTAGATAGCTGCATACCCAATTGTCTTGGAATGGAAATGAAAGATCGGGGAATACTCGATTCTCGTTCACAGATAAGCGCTGCGTCTGTTGGATGGGTTCCACGCAAACGGAGCCTCAGGAAAACAGTTTCGAGCAACCACAGCACCGAACAAAGAGGTTGTCACCAGCCAAACTGCTTCACTGGATGAAGCTGGCAATGATCAATGGGGAACTACAAACAA